ATCATAAAGTGCAGAGTGTTTCAAACGCTGACGTAGCTAGATCGAAAAAAGGGTCACGTGATATTGTTATGTTTCATGGTTGGCAGGAAGCGAAAGCGTGGCTGTCTTGACATTTCAGATGAAAATGACCACATGCTTGGATAAGAACAGCGACCTGTTTCATGTAGCGCACGCTCACGTGCGTCGCTGCGGTGCATGCGTGCTGCACGTGACACGAGCGTGGGCATGCGTGTGCGTGTGTGCGTCGATGGGAAGCAGGTTTCGCAGGTATCGCGTGCAGGCGAAAACGGAAGGTCGAGGTGCGTGATTGGCTTGTTACACGTTCGTTTTGCGGTTCGTGGAGGTGCCGTACACGCTGCAGTGGGGCGTGAAGCGGCCTGGGTAGAAGTGCTGGGGGTTGTGTGGGCGTGGTGCAGCGTAACACGTGATCGTGGCGTATCGAGGTGGCAGCGTAACACGTGAGGTGCGTGGCGTGTTGCACGTACACGTGCGTGCGTGATGTGCGTGCTGTGTGCACGTTACACGTTGCGTGCATGCGTGATGTGTGATTACGTGCCGTGCGTGTGTGCACCGGTTAGTAGGGTACACGTGTGTGCTGTGGTGCGTTTGGTGTGACGTGCGTAGTGTGTAAGGTACAGTGGGGGGCGGTGCGTGCGATGCATCGGGCATGGTGCACGTAGGACGTGCAGTGGCCGTGGACGCGCCCTGTGATGCACGTACACCTGTGATGCATGCATCTGGGGGCGGGGCTGGGCAGCCCGCCCCGACCGGCCCGACAGGATGTGTACTTAAACGTGCGCGGGAACGCCGCCACTCCCGTGGGCATGCGTCGCTGGCTGTGCGTGGTGTGCCGTGCTGCACGAATATACGTGCGGCTTGCGTGACGTAATAGACAGATAGCATGTGTCAGCGATAAGTGGCACAACGGTGCGCGCGTCGCGTGACGTGCAAGCGTGGGGCGGGAACGAAGGATAGTGTGGCTAACACTTTGACGTGCGTTCGTTGCGCAATGCACGGCGCGACCGATGGGGTGCGTGTGCACTTAGCAAGCGTGGCGTTGCAACGCCGTACGACAATGTGCGCGGTGGTCAACGATACGGGGTGCGGTCGTCAGGACGGGCCTGTGTGCTGCGCATGGAGGCACCGTGTGTCGCGATGCGCGCGTCGCGTTGCGTTGCGGTTGCGTTTGGATGCTACACGCCAGTGCGCGCGTGGGCGGTACACTGCCACTATGCACGTACACATCCGCGCTGCGATGCGCCCGTGCGTTCGGGTGCGTGCCTGCAGCGCTACCGTTGCGTGTGGATGGGGTGCGGTGGGCCGTAGGCGTGTCGTCGGCACGGTTAGTGCGACGCCAATGTCGCGTGCTTGCGTTGAGATGCGGTGCGTTGCGGGTGCACGTTTGACAGCGTGCAGTGGGGCATTGCGTGTGCGTGAGCAGGGCGCGGGGGTCGGGCGGGGCGTGTGCACGTACGACGTGCGTGCATGGGTTGGTGCGATGGCGGTGTGCAGCGTACACGTGGGCCCGCCCTGCAATGAAGTTGTGCGGTTGTGGCCGGTTGCGTGCGGTAGCACGTTGCGTGGGGGTGTACGTTATCACGTGAGGCGGACGTGCGATATGGTTGTAGTCGAACAATATCACGCCATCTGCTTAGCTGCCACCAACCGTTAACTGCCGATGTCGCATATGACGTCAATGGTATTCTCACATGAACACTCCTATAGATCGAGGTCTATATAACCATGACGCGTTACTCTGTTTAAAGAGGTTCTTAACAAGTAGTTGATTATGAAGCTTATACGAACTCGACAACCGATAGATACTCGATAAAAGAAGTCATACACATAGGATTTGAGTTGAAATGACCACAACAAGCTAGAAGCATAATTGTCCGGTGGTAACAGACTATTGATATCACATATCGTCCAGGGAAGGAGTACAAGTCTCCAATGCCTACTGTACAAAAAATTAACTTACAGCATGTCCCCAAAATCACCCGTAAGCATATCAATATCCATTTTATATAGTGTCTATAATGGCTTATGAGGCCTACAACCTAAATTAGAGAGGACAAATTATTATAACCTGCATTAGTTACAACAAGTTTAGTCGACTAATTGGAAAAGTCACTCTTCTTGAGACACGTTCTGCCGTGGGGTCGGGCGAGAGGGACTATCGGACCTGTGTATCGTTCCCTATCAATCTCCGCCGAATGCGTGACACGGTTTGAAAAGAAAAAGGGTGTTTCGCGGACCTGAGGTTTCCGTTTGGAGTTGGTCCGGGTAAACTTCACGTCTCTTGTCTCACGCAAGTTTGAAGTTCCACAGCACAGAATCAGTACCACAATCAATTAATCTACTACTTTGCTCCCATGACCCGAAGACACCTTAACTAATAATTCTTTGCATTGGATTCCTGGCAACTCTATGATCCCTCATTTGTACGTAAGGACATAAGTGCGTACACCAACAACAAAATGGCCCCCCAGTGAAGCGTCTGCGGTGCCATGACTCTAGAAACTGTAGTAGCAAAGCATCAGCGGACAAATGATTTGGCGCGTGTGCACTGTAAAGTGTGTTAACCGGCGTGAGCTATTCTTTTGTAATTATATTTGCTGATGCTCGTTTGTTCTGCTGCCAACCAAGGCAGTTGCTACAAATAGAAGAATTGTTGGGAGTTATTGTTAAATTTGTGTCAGTACCAATCACAATCATGGACACCTTATATGTAGTGATAGTTTTGAACAACGCCCTAGCTATTGTTAGTGAACTTCACTGTGTGGTCTGCATCTTGCTCGAGGATATAATATGCCGTGCTGACCTTTATCACGGTCTGTGCGAAACTCTAGAAAATCTACTACTCTCGTACTTGAATCTCTCCAATTGAATTCTTGAATTTAAATTGAATTTTTAACTGAATTGAAGTTCTTGTGCTACCGCTACCGTTTGTTACTTTCAGTCCATGAATCCTGCCCTGCTTCGTCTGCTTGTTCTGACGCTGGTTAATCTCTGATTGGTGATGTGAGTTGTTTGTGCACAGTGGGTATGCGTGCGTGCGGTGTGGTTGTGTGTTGTAGATGAGTATTTGAACGTTTTTCGTATGGAATTATTAGGCAATGTACATGATATAATTTAGACACATTGGAATTTAATTCGTAGTAAATTGCTTATTATTTTAGTCATGTAGTTTAGTCTATGTTTAGTTTATGTAGTTTTAAAAATGATATTATTTTATGATTGAGACGGCCCAAGTGCCTATGCCACTGAGAAACGTCTGATCTTTTCTTCAGCTTTAAACCATGTACTTGCTGCTGGTGTACGAGGATCAATTCTAGTTCAAATTTAAGATTTGTTTGTCTGCTGTCCCATTCTAGTACCTTTTCTGTCCTCTCTAGTCAATGGTAAAAGTGAAGCGTTCTATTGTAATCCGCAATCTTGATCTTTTTTTTTCATAACAGTCGTTTCGACTGTAGAAAATATTCTAAGTGTTTTTATTAACATATCTATTTTTAATTATTTGCTAAACAGAGAGAGATGGAGACAGGAAGAGGGAGATAGATAATTTTATTACATGTAGAGAATGAGAGAGCCAGGGCCGATATTGTTGCTCATGAGTCTTGTACTCGAGTTGATTATTGCAATAATCAACTCGAGTACACGACTCATGAGCATAAAAACTTTTTATCGAAAATGTAATTCGTTATTTATTTACCATTATTTATAATAATGGCCCCAGTGTCTGTGTATTTGAAAGCATGAAGCTCTTGCACGACTATTCTGGGTGGCGTGGTCAGTTAGCATTTTTGCAAGCTGGGTCGAACCCCAGTGACATTTACTGTTATGATTTCTAATTCCATTTACATATCTATATTCATGCAATGCATTAATGCAACTTTCAAGCACTGCAATACTTCTATTTTTATGTTATGTTGTGATTTAGATTAATACCTTGTGGGTGACCTACCTTTGCCTTATCAATATTTATGCCTCATTGTGTTGACACCAGGTAACATGACAAGTCCTAAACTGGCACCAGTCTCATTATGTCATTGGTATATATACTATTGGTCTATGCTCTGCCAGAGGCACCATTAGTTGTAGGTGATATCTTTGTAGACAGGGTTAATTTATTCGAATTAAAGAGAACCAGAAATGGACGCAAATGATAGTATAAATGCATTCTCAAAATTCCGGATGAGGTTCTCTTCTTAATGCTCCTGTGTATGGTTTGCTGTACAACTGGTTGGTGTGGATACTGCCCCGAGTTCCTGTGGGTACGACTTCCTGCGTGACACACATTACACTTTTGCGATTTGCTCGTAATCGTGAATAAACTGTAGACACTGTAAACTTACAGCTTTTCAACAAATAAAGACTTAATTATATATATAATACTCTATTTCTGTTTTTCATATCCGTGTTAATGCAAATTGAATGTGAGTGATATCCTCAGAATGGTAGAGGGCAACTCGCAATCTTTGCTGTAGTTAGTAGATGTAGATATAGCCCCAAGTTTATACGTTTCATGTTTGCATATTTGCTAGCACAAATAACCATACTTGCTTCTATAACCAAGAAGGCAATAACATTTTGAACCCACACGGTGGCCCTACTGTTGCCCTGAACTTTGATTTTTGTACCTTGTTATATATCCCGTCGTGTTTTTACCCTCTGGCATACCTGTTAATCATTTTGTTATTCCCTTTGTTATTATTTGTTATACCATGGTTACCAACACAGAGAACACACACCCGCGACATAGATAGAATAATGAAATGAAACGGAGTTGGCTTGTGCTGAGTTCCTTTTTCGCTCCTCTACAGGGCTGTATTGGATTGTGTGAGAGGAACCAACAAGGAGTTTCACACAGCTTGGCACACCATGCTACCACCTCTATTACAATAAGATATTGCAGCTGTTGTTAGGTGTTACTTATGGCGATTGTTATATTTGTGACAGTTAACGTAAAGTCAGTCTAATTGTGTTATTATGTATTCCAGGGCTATCATGAGCTATGAACCAAATTCAAACATTCTGAAAGTTGTTTCCACTGGAGGTGAGTGCATAATGTTAAAATTAAAGCAAATATTCAGCTCTGAGAATAAGAATATAAGAAGCAATATGAGAAGGAGAGGCTGAAGAAGAGGATCGAGGAATGCTGTTGTAATTCAGTGTAAACACCAATTTCCCACACTACGGTTACCCTGACTTGGTAGAGGCACTAGTGTACCTATTTACAGATGTACAGGGTGCGAAATTAACGGGCGTCCGGAGTCAAATACTCCCTTTATTACGTCGACCCCTGCATTTTGACATATGCAGGAGTCCGTGTGACTCCCTGAAAATCTGCCACTAACATAGTTCGTTCAAGAGCACAGCCTCGCGGAATTACCAATATTTTTCAGTAAAAGTCCAAAGAAAATTTGGCAGACGTGCAACCGTATGAATCTTAAAAATAAGCACATGTGTTAGTGTTAATATTGTAGTCACGTTATGCACATATCTTTAATTTTGAACTTCAGACTGCGGACTCCCTCATTGTGCTGCGGACTCCCTCCTTTTGAGGGTAGGGAGTCCGTTGGACTCCCGTGTTCAAAAGTTAATTTCTACCCCTGGATGTAGTACTTTAAATTTAATCTAATTGTTTATGTGACCTAAAACTATATCATGAGTAAAACCTTCTTGCTTTTGCAGAAGATGGTCTGGAGGAGATGATAGATGATTTGAATAGTGGGAAGATTATGTATGCCTACTGCAAAGTTGAAGATTCACATACAACATTGAATAAATTTGTGCTCATAAACTGGGTATGTTTCATCTGTTTCGTTATAGTTTATTCAAGTATTGTGTACAAACATGTATCATTTATGTTGTGGCGAATTAAAGGGTGCGAAATTAACGGGAGTCAGGAGTCAAATACTCCCTGATTTACTGTCGGACTCCCTGATTTGACATATGCAGGAGTCCGTGTGACTCCCTGGAAATTCTGCCATACTAACTAGTTCAGTTCCGGAGCACGGCCTCGCGGAATTACTGTATTTTTTTCAGCTAATGTCCAAAGAAAATTTGGCAGACATGCAACTGCATGAATCTTAAAAATAAGCACATGCGTTAACTTATTGTTAATATCTTTAATTTTGAACCTCAGACTGCGGACTCCCTCATTTTGCTGCGGACTCCCTCATTTTGCTGCGGACACCCTCATTTTGCTGCGGACTCCCTCTTTTGCCTGCGGACTCCCTCATTTTGCTGCGGACTCCCTCTTTTTGGGGGTAGGGAGTTCGTTGGACTCTCTTGTTCAAAAGTCAATTTCTACCCCTGAATTAACAGTAGGAGAATCTGGGTACCTAAATATACTGTGCAGATGGAAAGACTCATGTGATGATCATCACCTAAACATTTGAAGGCAGCATATCAAAGTTTGCTTTTGCATAGTTATTAAACAAACTTTAAAAGTTATGACAGTTCATAGGATAAATCACGTACCACTACTGGTTCAGCAAAATGTTAACATATATTATTGTATAACGATGATTTCCCCCCCCCCAATTACATTATGCACATTCCTATAGACATGTGGGTTTACTGCTTACAAAAAGTGCATAAATACTTTAAATAGTGTAAAAAACATTGAAAGATGGTAAAAATTATGTTGTTTCTAGTTACCATAGGGGTGCCTCGGCTATTTAAGCTCATGTACTGTTGTTGTTTATTTTATTGTACATAATTGTTGTTGTTGTTTTGGTGGTTGCAGCAGTGGTGGTGTTGTCGATGTCGATTTTGTTGTTGTTCATTGTGGTTCTTTGATGCTGTTCTTGTTGATGCTGCTGCTGCTGTTGTTGTTGTTGTTGTTGTTGCTGCTGTTGTTGTTGCTGCTGTTGTTGTTGTTGTTGTTGTTGTTGTTGCTGCTGTCTTAGGAAAAGTTGTTGTGGTAAAGTGTAAGTGTAGTGTTGATTTGATCATGTTTGGCTGTTCACAGCAAGGAGAGGGTGCACCAATCGCACGCAAGGGTACCTGCGCGAGCCATCTCAGAGATGTCACAAATCTATTTCACGTAAGTGATCAACTGCTCTCTTTCTTGTGTGGTGAAATATGTAAATATCTTATTAACTTCTTTTGACTATTTAAAAAAACTTTCATTTATCAGAGTTTACAAGTCGTTTCAAGTAAATTTATCGTTTACAAGATATTCCTCATTATGAATCTAGACCTTTTTTATGAACTCACTAACATCGAAAACACTGAACTGCTGTACATAAAACAATTAAAACAAATTTGCCATTCACAATGTATCAGGAGTCTATCAATTGAAAATAAGACTATTGCTAGACTCCTGAATGTATCAGGGAGTGAGTTGTGACATGTGTTGAAAATTGTGTCCCTGTAGTGTTATCAAGTCTATTAGTACTTTTGTAGTATTTCCTTACTGATAGGTAAGGCTATATATCGTAAGCAATATTTAAATTAATATTTGTATTTTTGTATTTATTTATGCATAAATTCTATTTACAACCGTTTTAAAGTAATCGTATAGGAAATGTCAAAATCTACATAAATAAGACCTCTGACGTCAGTAATTGATAGTATTTGTCTTTTTATTTTTTTCATAGTAACGTATATGACGAGGAATGTAGGTTTTAGCATTAAATAACTTTTATGCAATCATGGGAATTACTGGGAAATAATCAAGAATTCACAATAAAAAGTTTTACTGACATTACATGCCAGTAGGTGGCGCAGTATGAATGATAGCTGTAACCACTGTCCACATACTAACGAATACCACTGAGCTGTATATAATAACATGCCTGTTATTTTATGCAGCTTAGTGGCTGTAACTGAGCTGAACAAAGTTTTATGATATAATAATTTGATTTATTATTTGGTGTTCGTTTTTCTCAAAATATTCACTAGTGAATTGCAGATTTAATTTTTTGCCAAACAAATATAATTTCCTGACTTCATTCTTTTTCAGACAGAAACAAATATATTTACTCATCTGAAAAATCTCTGCAAACTATAATATCTTTATTGCATGTCATTATCATCCTATTACATTGCACTTTCATCTTTTAAACTGAAGTTCTGCCACTTACAATGTCTGTTCATAATATGTGCCTTATTATTATACACCTGACATTATATGCCTGTATATTTATAACGCACCTTCTCTGCCCATTATGGAAAAGAAACAGATAATAGCAAACAGTGCTTTATCGGAGGTACGCAGTTGTATATTGTTTTGTTCAACCAGAAACGATGTTTTTATTTGTTTTTGAGTGGAACTATGACAACAACAGCTGTAACAGCTCCGACTGCCCAAGGCATGAAGCTGTGTATATTGGTTATACATGTTTATTCTTGCCTACGACCAATATGGATGATGCGTGCATACACTGAACTGTATATATACTAACACAGGGGCGTAGCCAGCCTTTCCAAGAGGGGGGATTCTTTCCAAGAGGGGGGATTCT